GTTCATACGCACAGATGCGTTCTAGCAGAGACCATTCCCAAACGCGGAGGAACATGTCGCTGTGTCACTCACCTTCGGAACCAAACAGTTCCTTGTCAGTGTGGCCCCTCCGCGTGTTACATTTCTCCACTCCCGGAACCCAGTTCGCATGGGCTGTCCCTGGTTGCTGTTCCAACCGCTTGTCATCCCACGTATCAGCATGTTTTGTTTCCGTGTTTTATTTTTTGTGTTGTGTCTACACAGACCAGAGTTGATTAAACTCATTATTATAGAACATGCTGTCATTTTTTACCTGCAACGCCCCTCTCTAAAAAATGTGTATCTATAAAATTTCCAAAGACAGAAAAATACAGAGACTAATACAACAAATGTGTATGAACCCAGTTAGCCATATTGAACAATTTTTAACGTTTTTTGCCACCATGTTTCCGTTGTTAAAAATAAAAACAGTTAAAACTCCCGTTTTTACCCTTTCCCTTACAAAGGTGACCACTGCTAAAACTAGGCCCAGATGCAGCAAACTTATGCTAATAATTTGGTAAAATCAAGATTTTTAAAATAAAATTTAAAGAGAAGACAAGATCCTCAAATGTGAAATGATGCGCTTCGGGGTAGACGTGGGGAAGGGGCCTGGCACTATCCCTGCGGTAATCGCTAGCATCTAAGTAGCGCCCGTGATGCACCTGCCGCCGCCGTTCTCCTTCTTCACGTAACTGAAACCACTGAATGTCCACAGGAGTCTGACGCTGCAGTATCCACCTTACGGATGGGGAAACCAGACTGCCCGAAGGCCTAGGCCAGTAGGAAGTAGAGCCAGGATTTAAATCAGGCAGTCTGCAGTCCTGTACAATACCTCTGAACCATCCTGTCTTAGAGCACGCTAAAGCGTTTTTCTTTGTCTTCAGTATCTCTACTGTTAAAAATACGTAAAATCTTCATTTTTTTTAATTTTAAGAAGTCTGGATCTTTGAGTGCCAGTTCTGCCTTCTTATTCCTCCATTCTGCTGCTTGAACCTCAAATTATTTTCTTCCTAATAGTACTTCAAATCAGATTTTTACATTTTTGGTGTTTTCTTTATCAGGAAATTTAAAACTGAAGTATTTTTTCACTATAAAGATTTTCTTTACTGTACTATATTAACCAAACATGCCCTCCAAGTGACTATTGAAGTTCTATGCCATCCTATAAAATAGTTAACTGTGAATACTCTATTTGTAGTTTCTAGAAACCTTCCAGAATAACAGGATTCTCTTAATGGACTAATTACCCCAACTCTGATGCCTGCGTAATGCTATCCGGCAAGCAGCTGGCTTCGTCTGAAGAGAAGCTGAGAGCTCTTTTTTGTTTTGTTCATTTAAAATCATTTGCTTCTTATTTAATATCTGCAAAGAACGCAGTCACATCATAGTGGAAAGTGCTGTTGTAAATTTTGGATTGTTTCCATGGGTCCCGCCTTACATCTGCATGGTGTTTAAAGCCAGTGCTGCCTTTCTTTTTGTAGGCATTCAGGGCCTTTTGCCTCATAATCCAATGTCATGCTGAATGACAGAAAATTGAAGTTGAATTTATTTAACTCTACAGAAGGACCATACAGAACAATGCACTTATTTAAGAACTCCTTGCCTTGGAAACTGAAGGAGCTGTTTTGTGCAGGTGGCTTAATCTCTCTGCTGCTTATCCTGACTGTGTTCTTTTATTTGTTAAGGACAGGAACTGGGCACTCTGCTTCCAAAAACAAAAGGACTCTCCAGCCTACCAGCATCATAATAAACTCTTAGGATGCGTGTGCCTCATTCAGAGCAGCAAAGATATGTCTTGTGTGTGTGTTTTAAAAAATAACATTTATATTTCTTGACTACAGAAAATATAAGCAAAAGTTTAAAAATCATAAAAATATATTAACCAACTCCTAATCATGCAGTAAGGAGCTTTTTACATTGTGAATTGTTTGTAATTTTTTCCCTCAACTGTGTGGTCTCTTCTCCGCTTATATAAAATGGCTCTCAGTTGACATTACTTGTATTATTGATTTCTCTTTACTTCACCTGAAAGCCTTCAGAGGTTCTTACTTATAAAAAAATAAAACATTTATTTAGTATCCCAATTTTTATTCATATTTGTTCCCACATACGCAGCAGCTAATCTTGGAGAAAGTAGCTTTTGTGCTCACCAGGGACTGTGAATTCAAGGCTTTGCTATCTGTGTTATGTTGAAATGGAAGGAAGAAAGGAAGATTTAGGTGACTAGGTGGAAAGAGTAATATTGAAAAGTATAGTAGCTTTTCTTTCCTTCTGGTTGGGTATTGATGGCATAATTTGTCTTACTTCAAATCTAGTAAATTCTAGAACTCTGATGCCCAAACATGTTCAGATGTGAGTCTCAGAGTTCTTCTCAGTGCTACAGAAATAGCTTTGGATTAGCTACCATTGTCACCATCCACCATCAAGTAATTGAGAAGTAGTTGTATTAATTTGTATATCAAGTACTAGTCCTTTGGGGTTTATTTTTCCTCCTAACTATAGCTGCATGTAGAGTAATGGGATTTATCCCATGGGCTCAGGTCCGTGCTTCATCTAGAACCAGGGGATATTTAATAGGAAGAGATAATTGTTCTCTTTGATGTCTGTCTCGTAAAACTGGTCACAACAACACCACATTTGTCTCCAGGTCCCTCATTAGTTATATTGATTTTTAAACTTTGAAAAATTAAAATGTGAACCACCCTTCAGGGCTACATACCCTACCAATTTACTACGTATTTATGTGTAGTACCTCTCATTTGTCTTAGGTGTATCTCTGTAAAAGTTCTGGGGATCTAACTAACTTGTAGCCACGCTAACCACACTTATATGGACACGTCTCATATCCCCTGCAGCTTTTATATGTCAGCAGTCAGTGTGAGGGAGGACTTTGGGATCAGGCCAGCCTGAGTTTGAATCCCAGGGTCACGTCTAACTCGCTGAGTGAACTTTGATAAGTTAATTAATTACTCGGACCCTTAGAATCTTCACCTGTAAAAACAAAATGTGTACCTGATTCGTGATAGCCGTGACTGCAGGTGGAAAAGGCACCCTGCTCAGTGCCCGGAGGCAGTGTACATAGGCTTCAACTTCCTTCCCTCCTCGTTGCTCAGCGTAGGAATCAAAGAGCTCTTGGCTCTGCCCTTTTTGACTAGAACCCATCTGCAAGCCCACTTGAACTTTATGACAAGGCAGCACGCTGCAGAGCATTCATGAGACTACCTTTTTGAAATGTTCTATTAAAATTTTTCTGTGTGTATGTTCTTTTTTTCTCACATGATATCCCTTGAGAAATAAAACACTACTCTATAAATATTGTCTATCAGCTTTGTCCATCGTTGAATCTTGTTTTGAGGGATCATCCTCTCAAATGTGTCCCCTCTGCAGTTTAACATCTCGAGTCATTTTTACTGCTGGCTAATTCATTCGCTGACTTTTAGGCACCATCAGTATCCCACTTTTGTCGCATCTGGAAAATGGGGCTATTAGCGTTCATGTGGCAGGGAGAGGGATAAAGTTAACTAGTTGATGTGAGATGTTGACCAAAGGATGCAAAATTTCATTGAGATAAGTGGCTCCAGTTCAGCAGCTCTGTTGTACAACAGGGTGACTATAATTAATGACAGTGCATCTTTTTTTTTTTTTTTTTTTTGGTTTTTCTCCGGTACCAGGAACCAAACTCACGACCTTGCGCTTGCCAGCCAGGCGCTTTGCCGCTGAGCTAAATCCCCAGCCCCGACAGTGCATCTTGATAATATTGAAGAATAAAGTTTAAGTGTTTGCACAATAAAAAGTGATAAATATTGGGGTAAAGCACGTGTGAATTAGCTCCATCTAGTCATTGCACGTTGTCATACATGATAAGTGCATATCATTGTTGTCAATAAAAATCATTAAAAATAATATAAACAAAGATTTATACAAATGTCTGGTGAATTATTAATGAAACATCCAGAATGAATTTATTTTCTCATTTAAGAGAACAAAGAAAGCAGACTGAAGATTTATATCGAAGTTTTATGTATTTATATGGCTACCTATAAGGTTTATTATTAAAATATATTATTAAAACACTAGAATGGAATGAATGGGCCATACAAATTGTATGTGGGTTTTTTGTGTGTTTGTTTGTTTGTTTGTTTTTGGTAGTGGGATCAAATTCAGGACCTTGCACTTGCCAGGCAGGCTCTGTGCTGCTGAGCTGCTGAGCTAGATCCCCAGCCTGAATCCGGTGTTTTGAACTACTTTTTTGTAGGATCCAGTTAGTACGTCAGTGTAAATCTGTTTTCCACCTTGTTGTTCCTGAAAAGAACACCAGCACGAGTATCAGTCCTTAGTGCCTGCAGCTGAAATCACAGTTCTCACACAGGGGCTAATGGCGGGACTTAGACAAGTGAAGCCATTTGTTCTTCCACTTTAGACAGTTTCTTGAATAACATTCTTCCAAGAATGCTCACATTTTCAAGTTCAAGACTATGGAAGCCAATTTTCTATAGTATTCTCTTGCCTTTTAGATGCTACGCAGAGTTAACCGTCTTGACAGTGAGTCCGGTACATGATTTGTCTATTTCTTTTCAACCAGAAGGACGCAGCAGTGCTTCCTGGTTCTAAACCACAAGATAATCAAGCACTTCGGTAGCGAGCCACATGATCAGTAATCATATTTGTGTTGGCTACATAAACTTCCTTGGAAAAATTAGTAAAGTTTAGCCTGTCAGTGGTCTGCACATTAGCTTGGCTGTAAGGGACAGAAAGAGATCAGCAAATCAGGTCTATCAAGACTCATTAATTCTGTGGGGTGTTAGGGTGGGGAGGGGTGAGTAGTCAGTAGATGAGGAACATCTGGTCAAACGCAATGGAATAAACAGCTACATTATACTTCAGAAGCTGAGGGGAAACTTTAAAAGAATAAGGCTTACTGTATAAAAATATCTGGACACTTAAAATGCACTGATGAGATGAATACATTGTCATTTCAGATTTACAATCTCAAGTAGAGGCCCTTACTTTAAAACTCCAGAAGACAGTGACTGAACTGGACAACTATAAAGAAATGCTCAAGTAAGATGGTGCATATTAATAACTTGCAAGATTATAGTGTCCTGTTGTATCATAAAATGAAGAATTTAGAAGGTCCCCAGGGTATTCTCTGTGCTCTTTGGCAGTGATTCAGTTGTGCAGGTGATAGTTTACCACTGCTTTTCTTAGCATCTCTGCTGACCTAGATTAAGTGCCGAAGGACCTGTAATATTTTAAAATATTTCAAAGCTTTCTTCCTTTAAGAAATTTACCAGTTGTTTCTCACCTTTTGGTTAACCTCAAATATAGACACTTTGCTGGTCAAACACAATAATTTAATGTGAAATGTTCTCTGAACATTTTCATATCTTTGTCACTGTCTACAAGGTATCTGCCTACAAGAAACAATATTGAAGTTGTTTCTTAAAATTATCAATTTTAGGTTTATAAAGGGAGTTGAATACCTTGGAAATGCTGATGGATCTATGCTTTATATAAGCAAGAAAGGAAATGTTGGCCAATAAATGATAAGAAAATGACCTTGTGAAATATCCAGAGCACTATTTCTTCTAAAAATCAATTATATTTCATAAATTTAAAAAATTAGTTTATAGGATAAACATAGTACATCTGTAATTATAACACTAATGTAGCATGCACATGTTCTTTAAAAAGTAAGTTCTTTTGCTTCATAATATATAATCTGATAGCTCTGATTTTTAGTTCCTGTCTTTGCGAGGATGAACTCCATAAGTATTATAAATATTTAGTACACTCAGTAACCAAATGTTTGTGCTGACCGTGGGCTATTCCTGAGAACAATGTCTTTAGTAAGATACTGAAGGACATAAGGAGAAACAAATTCCAAAAATCACCTATCAAATTCATATATACTTGGGTTATTTGTAGCAAAAGTTTTGATTTTTGAAAAACAAGAAAACAATTGTTCATGCTCTGTAACACGGTAGTTAAAAGTATAGTGGGTACAAGAGTGTAGCTGTCTGTGGATGGTGGCCGGGTGAAGCAATGAGTAGACGGGGCGCCCTTGGAAGTCATCCTCCCACCAGCACATATGGTCTGGGCCCAGGAAATTTCCGGAGATAAGAAAAGGTGAAAAAGAAACAAAATAGTAGTTATAAAAAAATATGTTCCCCTTCCTCTAATGTCAGAGAAAGCTTTGGCCGCAGGGATGTCTCCCAGGAAAGTACCATATCAATCCACAGCTACCGTGTGACACTTGCTTCTTGTAGCATCAGAAGAGAAGAGGGCCCAGCCCACGGATAGAGAGATGGTGCTAGCAGTCCGCTGAGCTGGGAGGAGGCCACGCCGAGCCTTAGCGTGGGGAGTGGAGTCTTGGGAAGTTAAGAGAGAAGCTAGGTATAGAAATGAAAGGGAATAAAGCAAATTGGTCTTTACATGAATTGATTTTTCCAAAGTTAGTATGCATAGCATCCTTTGCATGTAAAAGGAGCCACCCATTTAATATCAGCACTTGCTTTGTGGTGTGTGTATTAGTTATATTTTAACTCAGTTTGTGATGTAATTGCTAAGACATGATAAGGCTCAAGGTTGTTTGGAGTTGAGAGGGAAACATACCACCTCACTAAAATCTGTCCCCTTATTTGTTAGGGAATCACTGTACAGTTGCAAAAATGCTTACACTTTTGATCAGTTTATATAATTGATGCCTCCTACCCGTAGGAAGACCTTCTTAAAATTAAAAAATAGACCACCTGATCTCAGGAAATGTGAGCTATAAAAGACAGAGCATCTTACAATATCCCTCAGTACTAGTGACCTATTTCTGTGCTAGTTCTAGCTCCTCTGTCTAGCTCTTCCTGTCTCTAGCTTTTCCATCTATACTCCCTCTACTCCTTCATTGCTAGGATTAAGTCAGGGAGCATGGGCATTTGAAGTGAAAGTCTGGGACTATTCCTAAGTCAGAGGGTCCCCAGTAGTGTGTAATTACTATTTTTCAAAGGGTTAGAGCCAAATTTATGGCTTCACCATTTTTTAATGACTAAATTTGAAGTCAAAATAATTGAATCAAAAAATTTGACACGCATTTTGTTACTAAGTTGGAGTTTTTCTGTACCTATAACCTTTTTTGGAGTTCTAGAAATTAGAGGACATGTTTTTGTTTTGTTTTGTTCTTTTGGGGGGTTACTGAGAATTGAACTCAGGACCTCATGCTTGCCAGGCAGGTGCTTTGCAGCTGAGCTATATCCTTGGCCCCTGAGTTCTAGAAACTAGAAAATGCTGTGAAATCAAATTTCTTTACATTTTTAGACCTCATGTTTTATGGAGATTGGGGATAAGAGTAGGAGTTTTCACCTGTTCAGTTTTTTTTTTTTTTTTTTTTTTTTTTTGAGACAGGGTCTCGCTATGTAGTTCAGGCTGGCTTTGAGCTTTCTTTGTAGCCCAGACTGGTCTCAAACTTGCAAGTATCCTTCTGACTCAGCCTCCCAAGTGCTGGGATTGTAGGCGTGTGCCACCACGCCTGGCCTTACCTGTTCAATTTAAGATAATTTTTTGTTAAAGTATTTTTGATATTTGAATATGGATTTTGTGGATTTTGATGTAGGGAAAAGAGATAGTTTATAAATGGATAGACTTGGGGGGTTCCTAAGGTTTTTAAGGCAATGTTTTCTATAGTTTATAAAAACATTGTTATGCATTTGAAAGTAGGTGTTCATCAGTTAGGATGCTTTGCACTGCAAGTAATAGAGTCAGGGCAATGTGTGCAAGTAACAAAGGTCGGGTCCTGCCAGGTTCAGCTGATCCAGAGGCTCAGCAGTTATCACCAAGGATGCCCATGTTCCTCCTGTCTCCATCCGTGGCCCGCAGCACTGGCAAGGTCCCCTGCAGTCACGAAATGGATGCAGTTCCAGATGAAGTCTGATGTGTTCCTAGAAATGTGGGAGAAAATTCCCACAGGCCACCAGACGGCCCCCTCCTCCTGTCTTTTTGGCTAAAAAGCTTTACATTTTCTTTTCTAAACGAGTCACTGGTAAAGGGAACACTACTACCTAAACCAGCTTAGCCCTGGTAGGGTTTATCCTGAGCGGGTGACGACTGGGACGCATGGCCAGGAGTAAGGCTGCAGTGAGGGTCTGGATGGTAACCAGGAGCGTTTGCTGAATGCAGAGCATTAATGATGCTCTGAAAAGTCAATGATGAAATTTTCCGTGAAGCTTATTTTTAAATATCATAGTATCTATCATAATAATCTGTCATAATAGATTAATTAGGTGGAGATTTTCTCAAATAATGAAAAAAGGAAGGCTATGAAGTTTTTTGCTTTTAAGCATCTGCATAGATATGAAGTATACATTTATTACTTTCATATATATGAAATCCATGTAAAGACAGTATATCAGGATAAAGATAGATAAAATTAACAAGAGTGACTGCCATCGATAGTGAGAATTTCAGAAATTTCTGAAAGATGGCGCATGAAAAGCAGAGTCAAAGGACCAAGTGCATGGAGGAAGAAGCCAGGGGAAGCCAGCTGTGTGGACATGAAAAGGCAGAGTTTCTCAGAACTGATTAAAACAAAGGCAAGCAAATGGACCTAGTAGATCATGGGCATAGTGATTCTTAGACTCCAATCTGTATAAGAATCCCTGGAGCTTGTGAAACATATTACATTATTACCTCCCCGCAGACCCACCCCCAGGATCGCATTTCATTTCTGCAGATATTCTGAGTTCACACTTGGCCCCACGCCATCGCATTTTTAATGACTCCCCGTGATGCTGATGTTGGTGGTCCAGTGAAGCCACCCTGAGGAAGCACATTTGAGACACTTAAGCCAACTGGCCCATCATCAAGCTCCTTCAGTTAGCCAGCGCTGGCATCTGTTACCTCTCAGACCCAAGCAGTATATGTAGGGATGGAGCTGGAAATCCTGGTAATGTTGAACCCCAGGAGATCCTGGGGTTCCCGTAGCCCAAGACAAATCTCCATGCCTCCACCAGGTAGCATGGCCTGCCCTTTCATTACACCTTCCAGAAAGAACCCAGGCCAAAAGAAAATGGAAAGCAGACAGGCAGTAATTCTGAAAGTTGACATTGAACGTACCACAAAAAATTACTAGATGTACGAGGAAAAATTCTCCCCCCAAAAAGTGGCTTAGAATTTACACAGAAAAACTTTTTCTATTGGTATGTTTCCAGCACATAATAATTACATTTGTTTGATCATTTTCAATCCCCTTTAAACATTAACACCTTAGGAAGTTGGCAACCAGAAAAAAACCCACTAAAATGAACATAATTGTTATCCTTCAGTCTATGCCAAGGATTGTAACTATTAAAAGAAAAATGGGCTGATATGAAAAAGTTACCATAATTTGAGTGATAAAAGTATGACCGGAAAATGGATCCCTTTCATATTAAAATTGTCTATGAATGTATATGCACATATACATGAGATATACATTATTCAATACCTTGAATAAATGTTTGGTATGATATTCCTGCCAATTACGGGTAGGAATGAGAATGTGCTGTTTTATATATGTTCTTACATATGGCTTAGTTTACAGTGTGGCTGTGTTCATTATCCTGTGCATAATAACAAGAACAACATTCACTTAAAATGACTAGAAATTTATCAATTTCTAATGAATAGATTATCCCTGTCCTTCATCTGCAGGGAACATGTTCAGAGACCCAGTGAGTGCCTGAAACCACAGATAGTACCAGCTCTCTCTATTTTTTTCTATACATACCTACCTGTGAATGCCAAAAATGTGATATGGTTTTGTTTATAAATTAGGCATGGTAAGAGATTAATAACAACTATAAAATAGAACAATTATTAACAATATAATAAAACTTGTGTGAATATGGTCTTTCTCAAAATATTGAATTGTACTATCTTCATCCTTCTTCTTGTGAGATAAGATAGAATGAGATGAATGACACAGGGTTGTGACATAACTTTAGGCTACTACATGTGGGTTACTTACACTTGGGTGGTACCCCAACAGTCACTCTAATAATCAGAGGGTCCCACAGGACTGAAGGTGGGAGGTA